GAACCACTTTAACCCTTATTAAAACACTTAGCAGAAAAAGGGAAACAGACCCTAGAATTTTACTGCATGATAATAGTTTGGATTTAATCTGGCTGTAAAGCTGAACTCTAGTAATGAGAAAATCTACCCTTGCAGTGGGCCCCCTGCAATTCAAGAGTTAAACGCTCCCTTAGTCTAGTGATGCAGAGATCAGATGTAATACCTACATGTAGTGTCTCTTCTGCAGTAAGATGCCCATACTTGCCTGCTCACTGTCTTCTCCAGCATGTAAACGGAGGTACACATGCACAGCTCAGCTAACACTACTGGCCCGGACTCTGTGTGCCAAGCTGACTGAGCCCTGTCCAGGAGCGACGTCATCTTGTCCTAGCCAATGAAGACTGCTAAAGACCGGTACACAGGAGAAGATGCCAGCACTGGGGAAGGACAGGACTGTTATAAAGAAGGCAAGTGTAGTCCCACTTATAGTGGAACTTTAGTCAGAAAATAAAGACCTATTAGATCAGCTCAGGCTGGCCCCTTTTGCATGTCTAGATACGCAAAACATGAAGAATAAGTTCCGGTGTTTAAAACAATCTCACTGTGCCAAAAATGTAGGGGTTGAGCTGCTAAAAGCCTAAAGATTTACTGCTGCTCAGGGGCTCCAACACAATGGCAACCTCCAGCAAGAAGAAACAGGGACAATGCTGGAGGCAAATTTACATCTCACACTAATTTTGGTGGCATATTAATGTTGAATGTGTGTTCCTTGCTTAAAGCAGAACTCTGAGTAGAAAATTTATCAGCTGGCAGTATTGATGCTTTCATACCGAATACTTTCATACAGAATATGCTGCTTTTTTTTCTTTCCCCACTGTGTCATCTTGAGGAAATCCAGTGTGTATTATGTCCCTGCACACTGTAATGGGTGGACTCAGCGGTCTTAGGGCTCATTCACACTTGACTAATTTCGAACTCCTCCCAAACGCCCATATAGCAATTGACAGGCGTAAGGGAAGCGTTTTTTTAATGCTCCTCAAACGCTCCCCAAATGCCCTATGTGCGTTTTTGAGGCGTTTGGTAGGCGTTTTCCAAGCGTTAAAACAGCACCACAAATGCCTATAATGAACTTAATGGTATTAACGCCCTGCAAACACCTGCCAGGCCTTTGAGGAGCGTCATCATAGACTTGAATGGGAGGCGTTGAAAGGCTTCAACTCCTCCTGACTCAACATGAGGCATCAATTCTGACGCGACGCTAATGCTTCAGTGTGCTGCCATGTGTATAATTTTCATAGATGTTTGAGAAGCATTAAAAACACCCCTCAAACGCCTGCCTACAAAGCTAGTGAGAACATACAGAACAATTTTTTTAAGTTTTAGCGTTTTTGGAGCTTCGAGCGACAAAACGCTCAAGTGTGAATGAGGCTCAGTGCACACGCTGGCTGTGACTTTCTGCATTTCCCTTTGCATAATGGAAAATGTAGTTTTCTTTCCCCAAATGGGTATGATGTGCATCAAGAGATAAAGTCGTCCTCCCGACGCGAGAAAGGAACACTCTTTTCCTGGATTTCCTGACATCACTGGGGCAGAAAATTTCAAACTACAAGAAAAGTAGGGCACTATCATTCAAACATTCTCAGCAGTTTAACAGAGCTTAGGGAAAGGGATATGCATTTGCAAAATAGCTAGATCCCAGAGTTCAGCTTTAAAGTGTTACTAAACCCAGGGCCCTGCATTCACTATATCTGGTCTCCCACAAGGAAATGCCGTTATGTTACTAAATATAAACTGCTAAATACCTTTTCTCATCAGCAGTTAGAGCAGTCTTGTGACTTCTATCAGTGTCCAGCAGAGCACTGCTTAAAGCTTATAGGAGGAGTTTTCATTCTCCCCCTGATTGTGCTATGAGACTGCATAATAATAATAACCCCTGACCCTCTGACTGAACAGAGCTGATTGTCCCTGTGCTGATCACATGCACTCTCTCAAGAAAAAAAAACCCTTTAGCAACACATACCAAACTGAGCATGTGCAGCTTGCCCCAAGGTTCTCTTCTTTTAGCAAATGGATTGGGGACATTAGAAGAAGGGTCAATCAGAGAAGACAGGATCAAACAGTCTTTTTACACAATGTGGAGAGTTAATCGCTTAAAGCGGAGTTCCACTCACCCTGTCAAAAAATAAAAGTCAGCAGCTACAAAAAACTGTAGCTGCTGACTTTTAAAACACAGCCACTTACCTGTCCCTCGGTGTGTCCCCGCCGCAGCCGGTTTCACCAGCCATCCTGTATTCCAGGAGGCCAGCATCTTCAGTGTGGGCACACGGCTGTGACAGCTTGTGGCTTCACAGCCGGGTACCCACTGCGCATGCGCGAGTAGCGCTGCGCATCATGAATGGTCTTGTAGTCTTCTGGGACCTGTCACGTGTTCCAAAAGACCACAGGGAGGGTAGGAGGAAGGACACCTTTCGCTTCCAGTCGCCTAGGCGATCAGACCGGAAGTGGGAGCGGGAACCTGTCAAATTCTTGTAACCGATCCTCCCCCGCCCCCCAAAAGTGCCAATCCTTAATGGGGAGCGGGGGAGCAGTCCTTAAAGCGGAACTTCCCCTTTTGGGTGGAGCTCCACTTTAAGTTCCACATTGAGTATAACAAGTATGCTTTACTGCATATACAGACTGATTTTACGGTTTAATAAATCTTTAAGAATTGTATTTTTTATTAAGTTGTTATGGGCAATGAACCTGCATTGCATATGATGAGGTTGATGGATTGCCCACAGTCTGAAACGTAACAACAGTGTCCCTAGAATAAAGGAGGGGGGCTCCTCCCAAACTGCAAGGGTAGAGTTTGTTTCATTCAAGAAGTTCAGCTCTAAGTAACCACTGCTTCAATATACTTACCTTTACAGTCTGCTACTTAAAACGAATGGCACTAATAATCCAGCACTAAAAACACATATCTAGTGGAAGAGTTGAAAGGATCCGTGCGAAACCCAAAAGAACAAAATATGGCCAGTAAAATGCCATGTTAGACCTCCCTGGTCCGTATCCTGCTTATCCACAGACCTACACTCCCTAGTTTACAACTCCACTTATCTGAAAACTTAGAGCCAGCAAATGTCTTACAAGGCTTCTCCATTGTAATTTGTTAGTCTTATCAACCAAAGTCTAAACCTAGCCATAGATTAATCGAAATTCGGTCGGTTTAGCCTGGACCGGCCAAATTTCAATCCATCTACGGTTGTTCCAACCATTGGATCGACTTCTCACAATCAGGCTTGTTGGAAATCTGCAGCACTGATCAATGTATTCTGACAGCAGAGGAGTCCCCATTGTTGCATTACAATATTGCAGTGGGGAGGATCCTCCCACCCACCTCGTTTATATGGATGGCGGAATCTGTTGGTTTTTTTTTTTTTTTGATCAGCCTACTGGCTGATACAGCCATCTATGGATGGCCTACAAAGCATATTCAGAAAATAACTGAGTCACACCCCAGATCCACCAACTGAAGTCTCCGGATGGCCATAGATGATGTGATTTTCTTTCCTGCAACCATGGGTTACAGAAAAGAAAAATTGCCTGATTCCCCCATCAACACAGCCAGTGTTGATGGAGGAATTCCTCCCGCAGAACTATTAAGTTCTCCCGGTGGGGAGCCTTCCCTACTTAGAGAACACAGTAATTATTGCTAGCGCCTATAGCTGCTGGCAATAATTGCATGAAAAATCTGACAGGCTGGTTTGTACCAAAGTCGTACAACAATCAAATTGGGTACAATCAGCCTGGCCATAGATCAGCGATCTTCAAACTGCGGCCCAAGGGCCGAATGTGACCCTTTGTTTGCCTTTACCTTGCCCTTGGGGCACTACTTTTCCCACTGATACAAGGACCCTGACACCAATGATGGGGTACTCTTTCTCCCAATAACACCAATGATGGGGCATTCTTCCTTCTACTGAGAAGGAACGGTGGGACATGACTTCTCCCACCAATACCAGTGACAGGTCATTGGATACATCCACTGACACCGGGGCTTTTTCTACTTCCGTTGAGCAAAGTCCATCCCCCCCTAAAGGTTAAAGGTTAGTAAATTGGCCCTTTGTTTGGAAAGACTGGAGATTCCTGCCTTAGATGGTCCAAATCTCGACCAGTCCCCCCTGAACCAGCTGAGAATTGACCCATCTATGGCCGGCTTTTCTAGCAAGAGACTGCAGTCCTGCCAAGATGAGATGCCTTCTGAAAGCCCTGTTCACTTTGCTTCCAAAAGATCAAGAAAAAAAAAGAAGCTATAAAAAAACGTGAACACCGGTGACCTTGGCAGACGTTTCTTACTTTCGCAAAATGCTTGGTTAACCCACCAGGTGTTCCACTGACACCGGGGCTTTTTCTACCTCCGCTGAGCAAAGTCTGTCCCCCCCTAAAAGTTGAAGGATAGTAAATTGGCCCTTTGTTTGACAAGACTGGAGACCCCTGCCTTAGATGGTCCAAATCTCAGCCAGTCCCTGCTGAACCAATGATAGGGTACTCTTTCTTCCAATAACACCAATGATGGGGCATTCTTCCTTCCACTGACAAGGAACGATGGAGCATGATTTCTCCCACCAATACCAGTGACAGGTCATAAGATACATCCACTGACACCGGGGCTTTTTCGACTTCCACTGAGCAAAGTCCGTCCCCCCCTAAAGGGTGAAGGATAGTAAATTGGCCCTTTGTTTGGAAAGACTGGAGACCCCTGCCGTAGATGGTCCAAATCTCGACCAGTCCCCCGCTGAACCGGCTGAGAATTGACCCATCTATGGCCCACTTTTCTAGCAAGAGACTGCAGTCCTGCCAAGATACGATGCCTTCTGAAAGCCCTGCTCAATTTGCTTCCAAGAAATAAAAAAAAGAAGCTATAAAAACGTGAACACCAGTGACCTTGGCAGACGTTTCTTACTTTCGCAAAATGCCTTGTTAACCCACCAGGTGCCAGAGAGCTGCAAACAAACCTGAACATGCGACGCCTAAATGCTCACCCCTCGGTGCTTCATCCTCACTGAACTCCTCCTCCGAGTGGCTGTCGGATTTGGTCCTCTTACGGGGATTGCTGGCGGAAGAGCCCAGAGCTTTTTCAACAACTGGAGGCATTCCGTACTCCTTCTGCACTTCCTGGAAGAAAGCGAACACACACATAGACACAAAGGGCGCATCCAATGGAAAATAAATAAATAAGAGCGTACATAACTATTTAATAAATAAGAAACATAATCAAATTGGAGAAAGAAAAAAGAAAAAAATCCAAATAATTTTTTTTTTAAAGATGATAAGATTACCGGCACCGCGGTCCATTTAAAGTGATGGCAGGATCGTTGGATTCCATGGTAATAACTTAGATTAAAAAAAAAACAAAAACTGATGGAATAATAGGGTAAAGTAGGCAGATAAAAGCCCAATTCCAATGAATAAAAAAAATAAAGTAAAATTTAAAAAAAAAAAAAAAAAATTAAAAAAAAAATCCCACCAGGATAAAAGTGGAGGAAGGCAGGCAGACAGGACAGGCATGTAGCATGTGTGTTTAATGAGCACAATGAGAGCCGGTGCTGGGCTGTACCTGGAGCAGGGTGTGATATCAGGACAGGGCGGAGGAGGAGGTAGGTGTCTCCGGTGAGGGTGGCACACACAGGGCAGGAGGACACAAAGTCTCAGAGCCGAGTCCAGCGGTTACCGGCGCACTTCAATCACAATGAGATCCAACCACACACAGGCAGCCTGCTCCGGCATATAGATCCGGCACAGCCGCCTCACAGCCACATCCCTCCGCCAGCCTAGACTCCGGAGAGCGTACAGCTGCCGGCATCACCCCATGTGACCTCCCCTTCCCCAGACCCCTCTACCACCACCGCCCCGCCCCCACACCTCCCCAGGGACACCTACCTACCCACCCACCTTGCCTGCACATACCCCCACACACTCACTAGCCCTCCCCACTAGACGCTTGGCCATTGTTAAAGTGTACCTCCATCCCAGTTCAGTACCAGGGTTCTGCGTGTACAACTCTTCCCACAGGACTGCCTGGGCTCTATAGGGACAGGGTCACTCCTCCTGGGGTCATACACGGCCTCCATAGGGGGCCACAGGAACTATTTGATGGGAAGGGGATATTAACCCTTGTTGGAGTGTCCTCCCGCCACTGCAGGCCAGATGTCCTCAGACACTGCACCCCTCCCCCACCCCACAGAAAATGGAGGGGACTCTGACCATCACATGGAGGGCGGTATCCCATGGCAACCCTATAGAAGTAGTATTATCAGCCCCCATCTGCTCCAATCATCACACCTCAGTGTCAGCTCTACCCTTCATCATCCTCATCATCATGGAGAAATACAAACTGGGGGAGGGGGGCACAACCCCAGAGATCAGTGTGGATGTGATGCTCTGCAGATCAGTGTGGATGTGATGCTCTGCTGATCAGTGCGGATGTGATGATCCGCAGGAGATCAGTGTGTATGTGATGATCTGGAGATCAGTGTGGATGTGATGATCTGCAGAGGATCAGAGTGTATGTGATGATCTGCAGATCAGTGAGGATGTGATGATCTGCAGGAGATCAAAGTGTATGTGATGATCTACAGAACAGTGTGGATGTGATACTCTGCAGAGATCAGAGTGATGATCTGCAGAGATGATGACGATCTGCAGAGATCAGAGTAGATGTGACGATCTGCAGGAGATCAGAGTGGATGTGATGATCTGCAGATCAGTGTGGATGTGATGATCTGCAGGAGATCAGAGTGTATGTGATGATCTGCAGATCAGTGTGGATGTGATGATCTGCGGGAGATCAGTGTGGATGTGATCATCTGTGGGAGATTAGTGTGGATGTGATGATCTGCGGGAGATCAGTGTGGATGCGATGATCTGAGGAGATCAGTGTGTATGCGACGATCTGCAGATCAGTGTGGATGCGACGATCTGCAGAGATCAGTGTGTATGTGACGATCTGCAGAGATCAGTGTGGATGTGACGATCTGCAGGAGATCAGTGTGTAGGTGACGATCTGCAGGAGATCAGTGTGGATGTGATGATCTGCAGATCAGTGAGGATGTGATGATCTGCAGGAGATCAGTGTAGATGTGATGATCTGCAGGAGATCAGAATGTATGTGATGATCTGCAGATCAGTGAGGATGTGATGATCTGCAGGAGATCAGTGTAGATGTGATGATCTGCAGGAGATTAGTGCGGATGTAATGCTATGCAGGAGATTGAAATTTAAAGTGATGATCTACAGATCAGTGTGGATGTGATACTCTGCAGAGATCAGAGTGGATGTGATGATCTGCAGAGATCTGCGGGAGATCAGTGTGGATGTGATGATCTGCGGGAGATCATTGTGTAGGTGAAGATATGCAGATTAGTGTGCATGTGACGATCTGCAGAGATCAGAGTGTATGTGACGATCTGCAGAGATCAGAGTGTATGTGACGATCTGCAGGAGATCAGAGTGTGTATGTGACGATCTGCAGGAGGTCAGTGTGGATGTGACGATCTGCAGGAGGTCAGTGTGGATGTGACGACCTGCAGAGATCAGAGTGTATGTGATGATCTGCAGGAGATCAGAGTGTATGTGATGATCTGCAGGAGATCAGTGTGGATGTGACGATCTGCAGGAGATCAGTGTGTAGGTGAAGATCTGCAGAGGTCATGTGATGATGAGGAAACCAAGTACACAAACTGACTAAATACAGACGCGTGTGTGTGTGTGTGTGTGTGTGGTGGGGGGGGGGGGGGGGGGTGATTAGGCATTTGGCTACAAATTCACCTATGATCAGAATGTAGACCTATTACAGACACGAGATATGGGGAGGAAAGTTGGTCTATGGAATGATGGGGGGGGGGGGGGGGGATTGGCTGAATCCAGACGCTGAGGATGGGGGCTCCTGACTGCAGACTACATACACACACATGGATTAATAATAATATCACACCCGGGATATAAAAGGGGATCTGCCTGCTGAGTAATAAAAGATACACGAAATCCGGGGGGGGGGGGGGGGGGGGGGGGGGGGGGGGGGGATTTCATTGCAGACCGAATACATCACATACATGAGATGGGGGGATTTGAGTGCACAATTAATGAAGGTAAATATGGTGGTGGTGATGATGGGGGGGGGGGGGGGGGGGGGGGGGGGGGGGGGGGACACCGGGCTACAGATTACATAAAGAAACTGGGGATGATGATGGGGATACTTTTCTGAGTACCAAATACAGACAATATGAGATGATGGGGGGGGGGGGGGGGGGGGGTCATTTGACTACAGAGCAGACTACATACATTCCTAAGAGACGATAGAGATACTTGGCTGCAGACTACATAAAATAATGGGTGGGGGTTGGCTGACTACATTCATACACGTAATCTAATGGGAGAGTTTGGAGGGTATTATATCTAACAGAATATGTGTGGGAGGGACATATTCCAGATTGCGCACATGGGGGGATCATATTCCAGTATGCGCACATGGGGGAGGGTCATATTCCAGATTGCACATATGGGGGGGTGTCATATTCCAGGTTGCACACATGGGGGGGTCGTATTCCAGTATGCACACATTGGGGGGTGTCATATTCCAGTATGCACACATTGAGGGGTGTCACATTCCAGATTGCACGCATTGGGGGGTGTCATATTCCAGATTGCACGCATAGAGGGATCATACTCCGGATTGCACACATGGGGAGAGGATCATATTCCAGATTGCACACATTGGGGGGTGTCATATTCCAGATTGCACACATGGGGAAGGTCATATTCCAGGATGCACACATGAAGGGGGGGGGCAGGGGTCATATAAATCCTGTATAATAATATTCCAGATTGCACACATGGGGGGGTCGTAATACAGATTGCACACGGGGGTCGTATTCCAGGATGCACACATTGGGGGGGGGGTCATATTCCAGATTGCACACTTGGAGGGGGGTCATAATACAGATTGCACACATGGAGGGGGGGAGTCATACTCTAGACTACATGGGGGGGGGTCATATTCCAGATTGCACACATGGGGGGTCATATTCCAGATTGCACACATCATGGAGGGGGTGTGGGTCATATTTCAGATTGCACACATGGAGGGGGGGGGGGTGATATTCCAGACTGCACACATGGAGGGGGTAGGGGTCATATTTCAGATTGCACACATGGAGGGGGGGGTGATATTCCAGACTGCACACATGGAGGGGGGGGGGGTCATATTCCAGATTGCACACATGGAGGGGGGGTGTCATATTCCAGATTGCACACGGGGGAGGGGGGTTAAATTCCAGATTACACTCATGGAGGGGGGTTATGTTGCAGGACACACATTGAAGGATGGGGCGTCATATTCCAGACTGCACACAGGGGGGGGGGGGGGGGTCATATTCCAGACTGCACATGGGGGGGGGTCATATTCCAGATTGCACACATAGGGGAGTCATATTCCAGATCGCACACATGGAGGGGGTCATATCCCAGACTGCACACGGGGGGGGGGGGGGGTCATATTCCAGATTGCACACATGGGGGAGTCATATTCCAGATTGATCGCATTCCACATGGAGGGGGTCATATTCCAGACTGCACATGGGGGGGGGGGGGTCATATTCCAGATTGCACACATGGGGGAGTCATATTCCAGATTGCACACATGGAGGGGGTCATATTCCAGACTGCACATGGGGGGGTCATATTCCAGATTGCACACATGGGGGAGTCATATTCCAGATTGCACACATGGGGGGGTCATATTCCAGACTGCACACGGGGGGGGGGTCATATTCCATACTGCACAGAGGGGGGGTCATATTCAAGACTGCACATGGGGGGGGGGGGTCATATTCCAGGACACATATGGGAGGATGGGGGTGGGTGATATTCCAGACTGCACACTTGGAGGGGGTGGGGGTCATATTCCAGATTGCACACATGGAGGGGGGTCATATCCCAAGACACACTCGGGAGGATGGGGGGGGGGGGGTCATATTCCAGACTGCACACAGGAGTGGGGGGGTCGTATTCCAAATTGCACACATGGAGGGGGAGGTCATATATCAGATTGCACACATGGGGGGTCATATCCCAGGATGCACACATGAAGGGGGGGTCAAATTCCAGATTGCACACAT